AATTGCGACCGTTACGTTGGAACATTTGGGTCTATGGACCCTATAGTACTCTCGACTCTATGTACTCGCAGACAAGAAAGTGGTATCAAGGTGGTTTCTTATCAAACAACATGGCGGGAATCAGGGTGCAGTATAGAAGGTCCGAGTCCTTTGGACGGCGCTTTGGTGATCATTGTGAAAAAGCCGCTGGTCTTTCACGGAAACGTTCAGCTCTCTGGATCGATAGCATTCAGAGGGCTAGGAATCTCGCTGCCAGGTCCCTGCCTCACGGTCCACGGGAATTTGACAGTCGCGTCTGGCATCATTAATTTCGACAGGTGCGCCAGCAAGCAGGGCCCTGGGGGTGTCTCTGCAACCAGGATGGTGCAGAAGGATGGCCAAGTTGTCTTTAAGCGGTGTATTGGCAAAGCCGGCGGCGGCCTTTTCTTGAAGAAGGGGCTGGAGCAGTTGGGAGGCAACTTGACGTTCCAGGAGTGTCAGGCTACTGTAGGAGGAGGTTTGTTCCTGCTGTCAGATAGTCCAGGCCGGATCGGAGCACGTGTCAAGTCGAATGGCACCATTGCATTCCAAGCGTGCAAGGCAACTCGTGCTGGAGGAGGCTTGTATGCAGGAGGGGAGGAAACACAACCCCTTTGTTCAAGTGGGATGCTGCAATGGACCGGTGGTGCGGCGAGCTTCGTCCAATGCCAGGCGCCAAGTGGGGGCTGCCTTGGAGGAGGCGGCTTTCTCCTGACAAAGACGAGGCTGGAGTTTCGCAAGTGCAGAGCAGAGCATTCTGGAAAGGTCAAGTTGAACGAATCAATCGGTGGAGCCATTGCTTTTTGCGACATGCTTGAACTGGATCACACGATTATGAACATCCGCGGGTGCTTGTCGGATGCGTTTGGTGGTGCAATAGGTTCACTCACCTGTGCAAACAGGACCTCGTCCCTTACCGTGCAGGGAGGTAGTTTGAACATTCAAAATTGCTATGCAGAAACGGGAAGTGGGGGAGGACTCTTGATCAAAGACCTGATCTTTGCAAGACGCACGAACATCTCCGTTGATGGTTGTGTCGCCCAGGGGTCCGGTGGTGGTGCTGCCGCTGGAGGTGTGGATTTTGTAGAAGTCGACGCCAGATTCGAGAATTGCGATGCGCGGGAAGGGGCTGGTGGGGGTTTACACCTCCGAGACACCTGGAAAGCACGTGAAGCTACAGCGGTGTTCACTTCATGTACATCCAGCACAGATGGTGGTTGCGCCGTCTTTGGGACCATGGACAGTCGTGGCACCAGGACGAAGTTTCAGAGATGTACAGCTGGGCGTAATGGCGGAGGCATTTCCATCGCAGGCAAAGTCACCAGCCACGAGTCACAGATGGAGTTCCAAGACTGCAACGCAAGAGGACAAGGTGGTTGTGCATCTGTGCACCAGGTGGACATGCATTACAGCCATTTAGACGTTCGAAACTGCTATGCGGAAACGGGAAGTGGGGGAGGACTCTTGATCCAAGACCTGATCTTTGCAAGACGCTCGGACATCTCCATTGATGGTTGTGTCGCCCAGGGGTCCGGTGGTGGTGCTGCCGCTGGAGGTGTGGATTTTGTAGAAGTCGACGCCAGATTCGAGAATTGCGATGCTCGGGAAGGGGCTGGTGGGGGTTTACACCTCCGAGACACCTGGAAAGCACGTGAAGCTACAGCGGTGTTCACTTCATGTACATCCAGCACAGATGGTGGTTGCGCCGTCTTTGGGACCATGGACAGTCGTGCCGCCAGGACAAAGTTCCAGAAATGTACAGCTGGGCGCAATGGCGGAGGCATTTTCATTGCAAGCAAGTTGACCAGCCACGCGTCACAGATGGAGTTCCAAGACTGCAACGCAAGAGAACAAGGCGGCTGTGCGTCTTTGCACGGTGTCGACACTGCCTCGCAGATCATGAGGTTTGAGAGATGCCGAGCAGAAAGTGGAGACGGAGGAGGGCTTCACGTGCATGGCAATTGGACAGGTGAAGATGCCAATGTGTCCCGGTTGTTGAGTTTCCTTTTTTTGCATGTTTTGGTGGCACACCTACTTCTGCCTGCGTTTTTGCGCTATTGTCAGGAAGGTGGAAGGGTCAACACTGAAGTTGTTTGCAGAACGGATGGTAAGAAGCGAGTTCTAGAAACGACTAGAATCCCCGAGACGGGTCGCGATCTTGAGGTCTTTTGTGGTATTTGCTGTGGCAAGTACACCGACTCAACATCGCCTCGAAACCCAAGCCTTTGGGAGAAGCATTTTTATCATGAACTTGACCTTCATAGCAAGGGCTAGCATTATTCGAGGTCAACTTGAGTTGAACATACCGCTTACCAGGAATAATTTTGCAAGCATCCAGTGTGCACATTCCAAGTTCCAAACTTTACTACTACTGTGAGAACACCTGAGAGCAGGCAACGCCTGCAGAACATATGAAGTTCCTCAGAAACCCAAATCTGTGCACGGATGCAGGGCAGACGAGTAGGCGTGCCGTGATGTTTGTGCCGTTGGTTGACAGGGCTCCACAACACTTTTGCTTACTTCCGCGCAGGTGTCCTTCGTGGACTGCAAAGCAGGTGGCAACGGTGGGGGAGCTGCCGTGCAACACGTTCAGTTTGATGGATTTGGCAAAGCTGACTTCCGCAAATGCCAGGCTGCTTTTTCAGGTGGAGGCTTGATGCTGTGGACAGGTGGTAAGGTCGCGGTGCCAATGGTCTTCGAGCATTGCTCCGTTTCTGACAAGCACAGGGCTTTGGCTGGCAGTGCTGGTATCTGGATTGCTGTCAAGGAACTTAAATTAAGTTACTATATTGGGGAAACCCTATTATTTACTATATATACCCATTATGGTAACCTAACTTAAGTTCCTTAACAGCAACCCAGGTATTGATGCTCGGAAGGAGCTGGAGCTGCTCGAGACAGTTCACTTTGTTGACGTAGGACCTCTCGCTTTGAGCACAGCCGACACGTTGACCATTCAGAAGATGCATGTAAGCACCAGCAGTCCCCAAGACATGTTTGAGGTGGTAGTTGCCAAAAAATGTAGAGTCCTTCCATATACCCCCTACTAGAAATTTGTCCCCAGTGGACAAGGACTCCCAAAACAGGAACCAACAATTTTCCGAAACTCCCCAGGTGCAGGCTGGAAGTCTCCTGGTAAACGAGTCCTTGGATTGCAGCATGTTGGCCGAGTGCAGCTTCAAGGCCAGAGCTTTGCCGCCGGTGTCTGAGATCCAATGCTCCATGACCAGTGGCCGCGCCTCTGGTAATGGATCTATCTCGTGCAAGAGGAGCGGGCATGTCCAACACCTCGATTTGCAGCAGTCGTTTAAAGCATCCCCCAAACCTGACCCCTATAATCCTTTATAACGCCCATACCCTTGAGGTCATTAGGGTACCCTTGTTTTGAGAAGCTCCACATTTGAATCCACTTGAAGCTGGCACAGGTGCTTGGAAGGCATGGTTCGATGGGATGAGACCTGCATGCCTTGCCCGACAGGTGCTCAGCGATGCCAGGCAAGGACTCAGTCAACATTGGGTTTTAGGGTTTGGGGAAGGGTTTACTCCTTGCGACTTAGCCTGGACCTGAGACCCTTAAATCTTTGGGATTCCCTTATATTCATATTATAGGTACCCAAGGTTAACCCTTAGTAGGGGTCCTAAGTGCCACGTAGTTTAGTAGGGTTTTCGGATATCTCACCTTTTTGCAAGGATCCCTTTTTGGAACTCTAAGGATTTGCAGCAAAGCGTGCTCAACATGTAAGCCAAAGGGTCATCCTTGCAGAAAAGTTGTATATACTGGTTGCCTAAGGCGCCATATGTTGCTTGTCAACTTGAGGGCGCCTTGGGGTACCCTAAATACCAGGGGCCGTACTAGAGTTGGGGGGGCCCAAAAAAGCATCCTCAAGCCTAAACCTTGAACAGTCAGCCATCGAAAGGGAGAGGGGCAACTTAGGGTTGATCTTCGGACGTGGAACTCAGATCCCAGACACACCTTTGACCCTGGAACCTGATCCCGCAGAGGTTTAGGATTCCTGGGTTCAGGGTTTATAGGGTTTAGGGTTTACAGGATTTAAGGTTCACGGTTGGGCGTTATTTAGGGTTCAGGGTATTTGATTCAGAGTTTAGAGTGTAGAAGCGGCCAGGTGAATAGCTTGGTCATGCGGGCAGGGACCATGGTGAGCACGACGAACGTCAGTCACAGCCTCTATTGCCCGAAGCTATGCAGCAAGTGAATTGTATCTCAGATGTGGCAGGTTCTGGGTCTTCAGCAGGAAGCAAGATTTGATGATTCATGAGGATCCTTATGCAATATTGCAATGTGAGTGTAATGTGGACTTCGCTTTCAGTGAGTCAACCGTCAGCTGAGTCTCGGTGAGAAGCCGGCACTGCTGATTTTTCTCAGTACTCACCATGACAATCTTGCGCTGTTTGCTTTAGGGCTATTTTTGTATACAAGGTTCCTGAAAGAGTGTGCTGAGGGCTTTCCCACGAAACCTTGAATGCCAGAACCTCTGCTGCCAACCTGTAGCTTGGTCGGGCATCTGCAGGACGTGCAAATTGTCCTGTGTGTCCCGAGGTTTAACTCTTTATCGTTTCGTCCTTCCAGCTTCTTTCATTTTTTTGGCGACACCTTGAAAGTCAGACTTGGGGTCAGACGTGTACCGGAGCCTATAGGCCTTTGGCAAGACTCCACCCTCTTGTGCTGCAGCCCAGGAACCCCTCTGCGTGCCCAGGGGGAGATGTTCTGGGGCCCTTGTGCCAGCTGGGCCATCAAGGCCCTGGTTGTGCAGACTGCGAGGAGAACTGGTGCTTTACCGTAGCCTTTTGACTGCGAGCTTGACCAAGGGGCCCTTATAAACCTTTAACCCAAAACCCCTAAGCGATACACCCTGAACCCCTACAGTCTCAGGGCTGCGTATTTTGGGAACGAAGCTTCGAGAATCTTAAGGGATAGTCTGGGATGCTTCCAGTCAGTCCAAGAAGCTTAACTTGTCCCTGAGGAGGATTACTTTCGGTCTGATGGCAGCGTGCTGGTTTGCACTAAATGTGATGCTTCATCAGCAGGCCAAAGCAAGCAACTGATGCTTATGGTCGGAAAAAGCTGCGCTATTTTCGGCCTGGCCACTTTTAGCGCATTTAGCGCTAAACGGGAAGTCAAGTTCAGCGGTGTCCTACTGAACCAGCTCATGTCGTTTGGCACTGTGGCTGCCACCATTTTGACAGCTGCAATGCAAACTACATGGGCAACCAGCACCATCGACACGATTGTCACCAGCTTTGCAGAGAATGTGGCAGACATTAGTTCGGGCTCTAGCAGTGGGGTAAGCCACTCTTCACTGTGCACTGTTGCAAACCTAGGTTTGGCTCCTGACCTTTGGAAGGCACAGCTACTAAATACAGTATTTCCGGTTCTGTTGATGACAGCACTAGCCGTCTGCCAGAATGGCAAACTTTCTCTGCTGATCGGCATTAATTGCTTCTTCCCAGACTTCCTTGCTTCTTTTGGCAAGTATCTTGTCTGCTACCGGTTGGAGGAGGAGGGCATGCGCAGCATCTACGGCCTCACTTGTCCCTTTATGCCTGCAGGTGCCTTTGGAGGCGTTGCAGCTTTTTGTGTGGTGGGTCTGACTGGCACCCTTATTTTCCTGGTTGTGCGTCTCTGGTTGTGGCTCTCACAGCACAAACCAGCAACCGCAGGCGAGCTGCCACCAAGGCACGTAATTTTCGTCACACGTGCATACAAAGACAAATATAAGCTCTGGGAGACGGAGCGCTTGCTTCGGAAAACACTGTTGAAATTGATTTCTCAGATGCTTCCAGTGACATATGCACCAGCGTTGCAGATGGCGAGTGTGAGCTGTGTGCTGCTGGCCTCGCTGGTGCTCTATGCCTGGCTCATGCCATATATTGACCGGACGTGGAATCTCGTGGAAGTTGGACTTCTCGTGGCTGCGAGCCTCATGACGTCTTTGACAAGCTGCCTCCTATCGAATGAGGCTCACTGGGGCCGCAGTGCTTGGATGCAGTGGGGGCTTCTGATGACTATCGCTATGCTAGCGGGCGGCATTTGCTTCGGCGTAGGCTTCAAATTTGTTTCCGAGTTGATGCGCGAGCGCCAGGAGCGACCCCAGGCTGAGAAGCCTGTAGAGCTTCCAAATGTTGACAGCGCAGGGGAGGCCAGCCAGCAACAGCAAGACCGCAATGAGGAGATGCCGGCAGTGCCGGCCCAGACAGATATTCCATGACAATGTAAGCACCTAAGTCGTCCTTGCAGAATGCATCAGCCTACTAATTTCGAGTTCGATGCCAACGCTGAGCTGTGTTTCACGGACGTCTATGCCCAATCCAATGCTCTTGGCAGAAGATCCCCTCAGGTCGTCCGATGAAATTTCCAGCTTGGCATGCACAGTTTCTGTCCACACGTGGCTGTAGAACCGCCAGCAGTTCTGTTCTTTGAAAAGAGTGGGATTTAGTGCATTCTATAGGTTGCCTAATAGGGCTTCTAGGATTCTAGGGTTTATGGTTAAGAGACTTTCAGGCTTCAGGGGTTTGGACTCTCATGTTATGTTGGCCTGCCACGGGTTGGCTCGTGGGCAGGAGCGGTTCAGTGCGGTTTCCAGCATCTCGCGCAAACGCGGCTTTTTACTGTTCCCTTTCAAGCAAGTTTGGGGGAGCGCAGACGGCAAGAGAAAGACCGCAACGAGGAGATGCTGGCAGCGCCAGCCCAGATATTGCATGACAATGTAAATACTAACAACTTCGGGTTCGATGCCAACGCTGAGCTGTGTTTCACGGACGCCTATGCCCAATCCTATGCTCTTGGCAGAAGATCCCCTCAGGTCGTCCGATGAATGACCAGCTTAGCGTGCATGGGTGCTGTCCACACGTGGCAGTAGAACCGGCTTCGTTCTTTCCAGAATTGTTGGTCCCGTCGGCTGCCTAATAATAGGGTTTGTGGCTAAGAGACTTTCAGGCTTCAGTGGTTTAGATTATAGCTCATGTTATGTTGACCTGCCGCGGGTTGGCTCGTAGGCAGGAGCGGTTCAGGACGGGTCCTCGAGGGTACAGTACATCTCCCAGACGTGGTTTTTGCTGTGGCCCGTGAACCAGGGTCATGTGTGCATTTCTGCACACAGGCTGACTGGTGGTAAAGGTAATGGGTGCAGTTGGTGCGTTTGGCCAGCATCGCTATGCTTCCAGGCTGCATTTGCTTGGGCATAGTCTTCCAGCTCGCCCTCTAATCTGAAATCTTGAAAGCCGACTTTGGCGCTGCTTGGGATGTCCCTGAACCAATGCAGCTTTGTCGGGTTGACCTCAAGAGGTACCGAGAGTAGTGCCAGCCGCGCATTAGGGCTTGAACGCTCTTATATGTTGAAAGCTGCCCGCACCCAGTATCAGCTGGATAGTCAGCATGGTATAGATATGTATTTCCGCGAATATTCCCCCACATTATACCCTGTTACATTGTGAGGGGCGGGTAGCACCTAATGTGAAAGCTTATGGGCGATGCATGCAGAAGAAATAGATTTGAAGTTTGATGTCCAGGGCTAAGGGTTTAAGATTCAGAGTTTAGGACCTAGAAAGCTTAAGAAGGCTTAGGGAGATGTATGGACAAGGGCTCAGGGACTGGGTTTCAAGGACTCGGGCTTCAGGATTTGGATAACGGATGTCAGGTCAGAGGCTTTGCCAGTTCCCTGCAGCCAAGGCTTGACGACCTCGCTGAAATAACCTCCCTGAAGCAAAGGAGGTTGGGTGTATTCATAGTACCCAAATGGGGGATGTATAGGACATTTGTTTAACGCACCCAACCTATCTTGAAACACGTGAGCTCTAGTCTAAACTCCATGAAAGTGCTTATTAAGGGAGATACTTGGAGGTTAGACTGTAACTCGCCTTGTGTCGCCCACAGATTCTTCCTTCGAAGCATCGGCGGTTGGCTTCCTTCAGGTACAGGTGGCAGACCCTGGAAACCTTTTAGGGGGTTTAGGGTGGTTAGGTTTAAAGGGGGCTGTAGCGGGTCTAGGGGGGTCAGGTGGCTAGGCGTTTGGCAATTAGGCCCTTAAAACTACGCCCTCAACCCTAGACCCTAAACCCTGGTACCCCAAACCCTAATCCCTGATTAAAACCCTACAGCGTGTGGGTCACAATCCCTGGCTTACATAATCACCACGCCAGGCTGGTCAGCTTCATTTCTCTCGTCTGTCCGACGTTCCTGACCCCACCACAACACAAGATTACTTGCATTCTGGCTTCATTGAGTTTCAATTCTGCCTCGATTCTTGAAAGGTCCCCTCATCTCCTCAGGCAATTGTTGAATCTGTCATGCTCCTGCCGCCGCCGCCGCCGCTGCTGCTGCTGCTGCCACGTACTATTTCCACTACAATTATTCGCCAGACGCAAACTTCGTGCAGGGGTCGGGCTTTACCCTGCAGCCCAGAAAATCCTAAGGCAGTTCTGGATAAACTCTCATCCCTTAAGCCCAAACCCTCAGCCCTAAACTGTGTAGAAGCCTTCAGTCCAGATCAAGCTGCAGCTCGAAAACTAAACAAGGCCTAAACCTTCATTTGGAAGTTTCCTGCAAATAGCTTCAGGGTTTAAGTCCTAAACCCTAAACCCTGAAGTCCTTAAAGTTTAGGGGCTTGTACTCTCCGATGCTACCTTTGATCCTACATAGTGGGATCCCAAGTCCTAGCCCTGACAGCCCAGGCTTTCCTCAGAAAGCCCATGATAATCCTAGGATCCTCAATGGGTATAATCAATAATCCTTAAAGCAAACTGAAGTTCAGGCTTCGGAACTTAGAGTCATCCCAAAACAAAGCCCAAACCCCTGCGCGTTGCAGCTGAGTAGGCAAAATTTCGCTTCTTGGGATGTATGTCATCCTACCGTAGTAAAGTGTCAACTTTCTTTTTGGGTCTGGTTTAAAGGAGAAACGTTTTAGTTTGCCTCCACATGCTTCAAACGAGTTTTGGTTTAAGATTGTTATTTGGGGATAGAGTCTGGGTGTTAGCAAGCAAGTCGGCCGAAAGTAGTGAAATACATGTTATGCAGGGAGATGTGGGAGCTTGTCAGATGGATTTTTCCTAGAAGCATGAGAACCTCAACCGAAGGCAGGGGGGTAGAGGATGCCCGCAGTTCTTCCTCCGATATCTGCATCTATACTCCGAAGCTGGCCCCAAATTCACCCATAAACCCTAAAACCAAAACCCTAAATCCTAACCCCTAATCCCCCAGAAGCATCAATAGGGACAGGGCTAGTCCCCCAGAAGCACCAGTATTTATAGGGCTGCTGCTGGAGGAGTCCGCGCAAGAGCTGCTGGAAGGTGACCCGTCTCCTCTTCGGGGGGGCCTGGTGCTCTCCACTAAGGCTTAGGGTTTAGGGTTTGGGGTGTGGTCACGGCATAGGATGC